TTATCATATAAAATGCAAAAATTAGATATTTATGATTAATTGTGTAGATCATTCATAAAATGTATATGAGATACATGAAATCAAAAAGTGTGGTGTGGACTGGTCCACACCACGCCTATAGAACGACATTGTCAATGTAAAATGGTCTAATCAAAATAGTTTGCCCTCGGTTCAGAATAATTGTAGACTATGGTGTGGTGTGGATTGGTCTCTGCCAAAGGGTGTGGTGTGGACTAATCCACACTTAAGGATGGCAATGAGACGGGTATGGGGCAGGGCACCCCCTCCCCATTCCCGCCCCGTGACTAAAATCCCCTCACCCATCCCTGCCCCGTCCCCGGTATTGGGGTAAAGATTCAACCCCATCCTTGGCCTTGTCGGGGATGGGAAATCCCCGATATGTACCCACCCCGTAAATGAATGCGAGGCATAGCTCTAGCATTAGGTGGATCAACAAATGAATTTGAGGGTGATAAAGTTGGAGATCCATTTTGGGTGATGCGTTTGATTGGTTATCCTGGTGCTTCTGATGCCAAATGCCCATAAATGCCAGAAAATGACATCGGGTGCGGAGCTCCTCACACTAACGATCGGCTCTTGATATTCTTGCACTTCATGTTAGAGAGTATCGAGAAACATGATCAAAGAATGACGGAAGACGGGGAAGTTACTGCTATGGCGGTGGCGGCACCCAGCGATCGGTGGACGAACGGAGAGCAAGAAAGGAAGAAACAGAATGAGAGAAAGACTGCTAGTGCCAGACTGAGAAATAGAGAATGAGAGAAAGTGAGAACCGTGGCAGTCGGCGATTCCTCTGCTACGGCGGCGCTCGGCGATCGACGATTGTGCGAAGGTTGAACGAAGACTCAGTCTGAATCTCTATATGTGTGAAGGTTGAAGAAGACGAAACAATAGGGATTAGGGAATAGGAAAACAGACGACAACTTTGTATTCGAGGCTCTCAGACTCCTAACCTAACACAATAATAACCTACGCAATACCTTATAGGGTATATATATAAAGGTATATCTGTAATTTACAACCGAGGTCGGGGCGGGTTTGGGGATTTACATGCAGACCCCATCCCCGCCCCGTCCCTTGTCCAAGGCAAAAAGAAATCTCTGAAACCGACCCGTCCCCATATATGATCAGGAAAAATCCGGGCAGATCAAAAACTCAGTTTTGTAGATAAAATTGCCATCCCTATCCACATTTATCCATTTCTCATCCACAATACAAAATACCCCTTAATCAAAACACTCCTTACCGAGGTGAACTATGCTAGAAAAAGCACACCCAAACTTTACCACATGTGTATAAAACAGCCATGTGACAACCTAATTTGACAACGACATCAATCACTCGGTCTCGGGCCATCTCCATGCATCGGCAACATGCCAGGCAACTGTTCTAAAATCTCACAATTTGAGCATCAAGTCCTCATCTTGGGTTGGGCTCTCTTTCTAATATATAAATGGGATAAGACATGATGTAACCGTTACGTCAAGACACGAGGAGACATTGTCAAATTTGTCCATACTCCATGGCTTTTTCTTTCTTTTTTCTTTTTATTATGGATATGCAGACCACATGGCGTGGACTAGAAATTTTTTGGTACCGGACAGAGGTGTTATATTAAAACTATTAATTTTATATATTTAATTTCATTACATTATGCGGAAAGTCTGGAAGCTTGACTGAGTTTTAGTAAAATCACAATATCTAAACGATACATATTAATAGGAATCCCCTCAAAAATCTGAATTGTAATTCCTCTTATTCTATTTATAACCCCTTATAAATCGCATCTTATCCGTGAATTTAACATCAATCCACAGACAGATTCAATCCACCGGACTGAACTATACCAACCAATCCATATACGATCCAATTATAGACGGTTTGAAATTCGAATCACCCTTAACCGGATCGAATTCGAATAAATGGATACCCGTTTGATCTTCCAAAATAATCGGAATATAACATGTAAGGCAGAATGAAAATAGACGGGCCTATTCTTTACCATTCCAATCAAAGGGCCAATACTGGTTATCTCTATCAACTGAGACAGGCCTTCATACACCGTATATATTTCTTCATTCTTAAGGTCCTAATCCAATATATATCTTTTGTTCGTATTTGTAATTTGTCTCCTTCATCAACATTATTAGTTATTATTATCAGAAAAGGGAAGAAAAAGTTGAAACACACAATCATCCACATAAGTAATGGATGAGACAAGCCCAAATTGCACCAACTCAGCCACTCCACGGAACTCAACCCGGACGAGTCAAATTAAAAATCTCTACATCCGACTCACCGGAGATGCGCCTAGAGACTTTGCTATATCCCTGAGCAAGAACTTCTGAATCTTACCCGTCGAAGTCTTGGGAAGCTCGTCTCTGAACACCACCGTCTTGGGAACCATGTAGTGCGGCAACCGAGCACGGCAATATTCTACAATCTCCTTCTCCGACGGCCTCTGCGCCTGCGGTTTCAAGCTTATGAAAGCGCATGGGGTCTCACCCCAGAACTCGTCAGGCCGAGCCACCACGGCCGCTTCGTTCACAGCCGGGTTCGTGTATAACACGGATTCAACCTCGACGCTGCTCAGGTTCTCTCCCCCGCTTATGATCACGTCCTTCGATCGGTCTTTGATCTCCAAATACCCATCTGGGTGTATCACGCCCACGTCGCCGGTGTAGAACCAGCCCTTGTCACTCATGCACTTGGACGTCCCGGCCGGATCTTTCAGGTAACCCAACATGACACACCCACCTCGCAAGACGATCTCGCCGAGTGATGATCCATCTCGTTTCACGCTCGCACCTGATTCGGGATCTATCACGTCAACCTCGGCCATCCCAATGGTCCTCACTCCTTGTCTAGCCTTTAATCTCGCTCTCTCGGTTGCAGGCAGGCGATTCCACTGGCGCTTCCAAGCGCACGCTACAACGAGCCCGGCGGTCTCTGTCAACCCGTACCCATGACTCACTATAAACCCAAGAGACTCCGTCCGGAACAGCACCGCTGCAGGCGGTGGCGCCCCGGCAGTTAGAATCTGGACGGGTTGCTTAAGCGGCCGGGCATCAGGTGCGTTGGCTAACATGTTCAGCACCACTGGTGCACCACACATGTGGGTCACACCATGCCTGCGTATCGCAGCGTAGATCGTCGCGGCATCGAACTTGCGGAGACAGATGTTGGTCCCACCCACGGCTGCCATGCCCCACGGGTAGCTCCAACCGTTGGCATGGAACATAGGTAGGGTCCACAAATAGATAGGCTGTTTTTGTACAGTCCATTCGTTCAGAGAATCAACTGTGACGATGAAAAGCCCGCGGTGGCAATGGACCACTCCCTTGGGAGCAGAGGTGGTGCCGGAGGTATAGTTCAACACCATGGGATCCCACTCCGTCTCCGGCCGGATCCACTTGAATCCGGGATCGCCGGTCTTGAGCAAGCCTTCGTAAGTGCGATCAGGGTCAACGGCTGCTTTTGCTTCTTCTTCATCGTAATCTGCGATGAAGACGAGGAGAGGGGCTTGGATATTGGGCGGGAAGAAGGAGATGGCTTCGAGGACGAGAGAGCGAGAGAGGTAGTCGACGAAAACGAGCTTCGATTCGCTGTGACGGAGGAGGATGGAGATGGTGCGGGCGTCTAGGCGGGTGTTGATGCTATTGAGGATGGCACCGGACATGGGGACGGCGAAGTGGAGCTCGTACATGGCGGGGACATTGGGAGCCACCACGGAGACGACGTGGCCCCTCTTGATGCCGAGCGATGTGAGGGCAGAGGCCAGTTGTAGGCATCGGCGGTGTGTTTGAGACCAGGTGTAGGTGGTGCTATTATAGACGATGGAGGTGCAGTCGCCGTAGACGGTGGCGGCTCGTTCCAGAAACCCCAACGGAGTAAGAGGCGAGGAATTAGCAGAGCTTGGCTTCAAGTGATCCATGGACGCTTTACAGACAGATAGCTCTCTCTCTCTCTCTCCGGACTTCTTTGAGACGGCGGATAAATAATCTATAATGGGATACTTGTCACAGACACGTTACGAAGGTCAGATAAAGATAACGTCCATTAACAACGTAAGAGGAAAGAGTTGCGGTGACGACGAGTTCAAATCAACCCCCCCACCCGGGCGCCCCACACTACTAGAAGACGCCGCGTGTTATGCGCCTCAACTTCGTGGAATTTACATCTCCGCCCCACAACACATCCCGCCGTGTATTGTGAATATCTCCCAATGATAGTACCAGTTCCGATGATATCATCATCGGGAGATGTTCTCAATATACGGCGAGGATGTGCTGTGGGGCGGAGATGTAATTTCAACCTCGTGGAGCTAATTTAACGGCCGTTAATTTGTTCAGTTAGCTCTCATTTTACCCAAAAAGTGAGTTTTCCTTTATCGAGTTTGAATCTCAGTGCCCGTTTTGGCATGTCTATTTGAGAAGATCTTCTGATAGTTTGACATGCAAAAGACATATTGAGCTTTTACATAAAGATCTGAGTAGTCCAAAACACATTTGGTAGATACATGTCTTTTCGTGCGAGATTAAAACACGAAAGACGCAATAAGCTTTATTTGAAGCTCTTCAAAATCAGCCCGAAATAGGCTTTTTCTCGCATCTTTTTGGCGTTCCGTCTTTTGGCGACTAAATCTTTTACGAGCCAAATGGGAATAAACTGAAAATCGGTCTTTCCAACTTATAGAGAACGGAAAGACCACATGAAAAAACACGCCAAATGAGCCCTCAATCTTTCACTCCTATCGACCTAATTCAGAGAGACCTGACAGGGAACATATCTCGTACTTATTAATTGTTATTCACGGGAGATGTTCCCAATGGACGGTGGATGTGCCTGTGAGGCGCCCATTTGTGAGGAGCAGATCCCGTCACTAATTCAGACTGCCCTATCTCCTCCCCCGTAGGATCTTGCCGAGAAATCCGATGTCAACAATCATTCTAGTAGATACACTATAACTCTCCATCCCCCTTATCTTAGATATTCTCGAATATGTTCTCTCTTCTTCCTATAATACTCCACTCTAAATTCACTGATTTGAGTTTAACCATGGAATGCCTCTGTTTAGGCTGATACGCAGTGCAAAGATAAGAGCAAATTTCATGGTTATTTAAAGAATGAAGATGGCGTTAGTTAAAACCATAATATTTGTGTGGGTCAAACAAAGCACAATCGTTTTCGTGATTAAAGGGTTGGCTCTCTCCAAAAAAGATTAGAGGATTGGCGCTGAAGACCTCATAAACAAGTTCAAAACTTGATTTTGAGCCATAATGTGTTTTTGTACTTTAAAGGGAAATCAAGATTAGTTGGAGGTTGAGTTGCTTAAATTAAATCAATTTGGTTGTTTCCATCTCGAGATGGGGGAGTCGCTTGGGGAATCTCGAGGTGCTCATTCTTTTGCTTTGGTGGTCGCTTCCTCTGCAAATCCATTACCAACTATTCTTGATCCACCAGTGGTGGATATTCCTTTGAAAACTCCTTTGATCAAGTGGGGAGAACCTGCAGTTCTCTTCTTAGATGAAGATATCGAGAAATCTCTCTCCCCTCTTCAATTCGATTTGGTTGGAAAATGTTCTTATAGACGCCATTCTCTTGTTGAAATCAGGGAATTTCTGGTGGGTATGTTCAGGCTTCAATGAGCTCTTATCGTCACTGCCCTGGATTCTAGACATGTGCTTTTTAGGTTTGAAAGTGAAGAGGAATACCTTAGGGCTTGGTTGCAAGAGGTGGTTTTTGTCAAAGAGTACTTGCTCAGATTTTTGACATGGACGCCAGTTTGGAGTTAGGGTGGGAACCATCAATTATGCTGCTTTGGATCTCTTTGCCAAAGATGTTGATCAATCTATACAATGATAGGTATCTGCACTCAATTGTGCAAGTAGCAGAAATAGTTTTGAAGGTGGATCTGGCCACTACTCGCTTGACTAGAACCAATGATTAAAGTATCAGTATCGAGTATCGTATCGAATAACTTGGATACGAATACGGATATGCTTTGGAAACACATGGATATGGAAGAAAAATATGGATACATTGGGGAAACACATAAAAATTTCATAATACATTAATAATATTATGTTTAAAGTCAAATAACCATAAATAATGTATAAATACATAGAAAATGTATATTTTAATGGTGTATATGAAAAAAGTATATTACAATTAGTATAATATGATGCATAAATATCATACAATTTTATTGATAATGTATCAATCAAGAGTCCAAAATGCAAAACCTATTTTCCTATTGTATTTTAATTATTATATCAATTATTTTTGTTTTACTATTTTTACTTTTTTTACATTAACAATGAGGTCAACTAAATATTAAATTATCCATGTAAATTAAAATATCATTTAATAATTTATAAAATGTATAATCTTAACTTAAAATATATCAAATCTAATAAAATTTCTAAGATACATATCATATGCAAAATCTATCCATATCATATATCAAATCTATTCCATTAAAAATATTTTTATTCCTATAAATTTCTAATTAAAAATATTTTTTTGGTATAAATGTAGATTTGTAGATTTGATAGATTCAATTTTAGATTATATTCTTCAATATTTTGTAAACAATGTTTTTATTTTCTAAATAATAAATATGATTTTATGTAATGTAAATTATTATATATGTATATATATATCATGTGCAAATTTATAAATTTTAAGTATTAATATAGTTATTTTCTTATTAATATTATATTTTTATAATTTTTTTGAGATTCAAATAATATTTTGATATAAATGTGGATTTGATATATTATTTATTTCTATTACTTCATAAAATATTGATTTTAAGTATTACTTTTTTAATTTTTAGTTGGAGTTAACGATAATATGTATTATTTATTTGAATTGCATTTAAGTAATAAAGAAATAAATTCTGTAATCATTTATTTATAAACACAAAAGATGGAGTGGCATAATGGCTTGTAGGTGCAGACGATAAGATTTCCTTTAGTTCTGGATGTAGGTTCAAGTCTTGCAACATTCCTTTTTCAGTAGGCGCGTTATCGAGTATGCTCATTTGCGTTTCGCGAGTAGTGTACCGGTCTGTATCGATATGGATCGGCCGATACAATACGCGAGTAGTGTACCGGTCTGTAACCATGGTGGCTAGGGTTTGTGTGGAGGTGGATCTGTTGAAGGAGAATCCTAGTCGTGTTTGGGTTGGGCTCGGGAAAGAGGGGTTTTGGCAAAAAATAATTTATGAGAACCTACCCAAGTATTGCACTTTCTGCTTTAAACATGGCCATCGCAAAGGGGATTGTAAATTAAAAATTAAAAGAACGTCAAAAGCAGAGGGAGAAGTCGCCAAGACCAACGCTACTGCTTCAATTTCAAAGCCAATAGAACAAGCACCCGCTCCCAGAAGAAAACAAATTGTGAAGCAAATTTACCAGGAAGTGCAAAGAGCACCTACAGTCACCACAAAGAGGGTATTGACAGAAACTCTAAATTCGGAGGAGGTATTGCAAAAATTTTTTTGCTTCCAAAGATGACATTGGTGTGAAGCTTGTTCGGCCATACCTGTTGGAGACTACTAGTCCTCTCTCTTTAAGGAGCCAGATAGGCTTTGGAGTTTGGAGGATTCGAGGAATTCCAAATTGGAATTGGACAAAAGATTTAATCGCTGGGGACACAGCAATGTCAACAAATCTGATGTTGAGTTGCTCGACAAAATTACTGAAAGAATGAAAGGTCCTTCTTGTGCTCTCTCTGAGGATGATGCCGGTTTAGATGTGGAGGCAAAATGGACACAGGTGGTCCGAAAGAAAAGGCCTAGAAAGAAATATGTGCAGAGCGAGAATAGGCCAGTAACTAGATTGCAGGCATGCCATGGTAAGTGTACTTCTAGTTGTTCTCAATGAATGGTCTTTTTTGGAATATCTGAGGTTGCTAATGATCCCTCCATTACTCGCTTAAAAAAACTCTACAAGTTACATAAATTAGGTGTGGTGGCTGTAGCTGAACCCATGATTGGGGATGATAGACTCTCCTTGATTACTAGGAGACTTAACATGACTAGTTTCCCTATTTATATTAGTAGCAAAATTGTTTTGTTTTGGAATACTTTTTTCTCTATTCAGTTGATAAATGATTGTGACCAGATTTTAACAGTGAGAATTACTACTTCTGTCGATGAGGTTTTTATTCTATCTGTGGTTTATGCCAAATGTGACTGGTTGAAAAGAACAGTTCTCTAGGACAGTATATAGAACTTAGCTTCTTGGATATTGGAACCTTGGCTAATAGCTGGTGATTTTAATGTAGTTACGTGTAGAGCAGAAAAGGTTGAAGGGAGAAGTCCTGATGTTTATGCAATGGAGGATTTTGTAGATGTGATTAATGTTGTGGGTTTGGTGGACTTGGGTTTCTCTGGAAGCAGATTCACATGGTGCAATAATAGGGAATGATTGGACTCTGTTTGGGCTCAACTTGATCGGGTTCTGGTAAACTCTAGCTGGGCTCAATCTTTTCCCTTGAAACCGGTAAATCATCTTAATTGTACTTGTTTAGATCACTGTCCCTTGGTTTTCTCAGTTGAGGAGGAAAGGCAGATAGGTCCTAAGCCGTTCAGATTTTAGTAGATGTGGCTATCTCACCACACTTTTCACAATGTAGTTAGGGACTGCTGGAATGAAAATGTGTATGCTACTCCATTGATGAGTTTATTTCTCAAATTACATAAATTAAGGAGTAAATTCAAACAATGGAACTAGGAGGTTTTTGGGAATATTCATCAGGTGATGAAAGAGACAGAGGATAGAGTTCAAGGTGTAGAGATGAATCATTTACAGGTGCGTTCAGCTGCCAGTCTCACTGAGCTTAGGGAGGAACGGAAGAAACTTCATCAGATTCACAGATTTGCTGGAAATTTTTTGGCGACAAAAATCTAGAATGAAATGGTTAAAAGACTTGACAGGGGCAAAATTTTTTGGCGACAAAAATCTAGAATGAAATGGCGACAAAAATCTAGAATGAGAAGTAGAATTTGCAAAATTTAAAGACTTGACAGGGGATTGGATTACTGACCTGGAGGAAATAAAATTGATGGCAGTAAACTACTTTTGCAATGTTATGTCAGAGGAAGGGGCAGATTGCGATGATGATTTGCTGGAGGTTATTCCGTGTGTGGTAAATCAGGAAAACAATGATGTTTTATTGGCCGTGCCTTCAGAGAATAAAATCCATGAGGTGGTCCACGCCATGGACAAAGATAGTGCTCTAGGTCCGGATGGCTTTACGAGGCATTTCTTTGTCTCATGTTGGGACATCGTTGGTGTTGACGTAGTAGGGGCTATCCAATACTTTTCTAATGGTGGCAAGCTCCTGGTGAGTTACACTTCCTCTTTTATTACTCTCATTACAAAATGAAAAGTGCTAAAAGTTTTATAGATTTTCGCTCCATAAGCCTACGTGATTTTTGGTACAAAATTATTGCCAAGGTGGTTACTAAGAGGCTAGCAAATATTTTACCTAAATTGATTTCACAAGAACATGGTGCTTTTATACAGGGACGAAATATCATGGATAATGTGGTCTTGGTGCAGGAACTGGTTAATGATATTGATAGGAAGGCGGTAGGGGGAATGTTGTGCTGAAACTATACATGGTGAAAGCCTATGATCGGCTGAATTGGTCCTTTCTCTTTGCAGTTTTGAGAATGTTCGGTTTTAGTGAAACATGGATTGGTTTGGTTAAGAAAATGGTTAATAACTGTTGGTTTTCAGTTCTATGGAATGGAGGAGTTGCAGGATACTTTTAGTCCACAAGAGGGTTGTGTCAAGGGGACCCTTTGTCTCCTTATCTGTTTATCATTGCAGAGGAAGTCTTAAGTAGAAATCTATCTAAGTTGGGTGAGGATCACCCTACAAGTGTTTATGCTACTCATAGGGGCTGTCTGGTTATCACTCATAGTCTTTATGCTGATGACATCATTATCTTTACTCAGGGATCCAAGCAAGTGCTAGAGAAAGTCATGAAAGTTTATGAGGGTGGATTTGGCCCTCCAACCACATCATCACACATGGCATTTTGGAACAACTATATGACACATGGACACCACCTAAGCGATGATTTGGATTCCCAGATCGTGGTTCGTCTTCACTCCGACCTAACGACTTCGACCACAACTTAGGCCGGCTAGGAGCACCTCGTCTAGGGCTAATCTGTAGCACCTTGTAACTGGCCGAGGTGACCTCGACGTAAGGAGTGACCTCCCTCGAGGGCTTGCCGACCTGACTGAGGTAAAGGAGGCGACCTGCGAGTTATGCTCGTCGACAAATTCGGTATGCATATCCCGACACTCCCAAGTTTCTCGAAAGTTGGCCCACATACCGAGTGTTCCGGAGGATGGTCAACGTGTGTGGCGGTTACCTCCGGGGATCTCGGACAAGTTAGGCGACCTCCCAGAAATCTTGGATGTGGTGCGTGAAGCCCACGCCAAACAAAGCCTATATAAAGGCACCAACCCCAATGACACAAGAGAGAGGCGAGTAAGCACATTCTAGCTCTCATACTTTCTGATTTTTTAGCTCACGATCTACTACGAGAGTACTAACTTAATCATCGGATTGACCTTGCCGGGTTAGCCACCCCGGGTCCTCTAACATTGATTCTTTGCAGGTTTCTTTGAAGAGCAACCCAACTCGGCCTAGTCAACTTGGCATCCAAGTCCTCATTCAACAAAAATCCTCCACTTCGGCCTGTGAGTCATCAGTCACTAGGAAATAGCCAGACAATAGGAGAGCAGTCAGATTACACACCATTAATCAGCATTCGAGTCAGCAGCCAACCAGGGGCTGCCAAAACTTGCTTCATCAATTGGCATCGTCTGTGGGAAACGCTATAAGAAGCTAAGTTCTCACCTCTAAAAAGCTAAGTCCTTATCTTCCAGAAAGCTAAGATCTCACCTTTTAAAATTTTATGTTCTTACTCTCTAATTTCCATTTTTTACTAACTCAAATGCATTTTAAAGTAGCACCAACATCGAGAACAAATAATCAATTACTAGGGGGCAAGAACATGAGAACCCTCCTCCATGAAAATCAAGAAGCTCGGTGCATTGGAGCAATCAACAGTAGAATGACCTCAATAACCAGTAGTCTGGTGACAAGCACCTCGGAGTAAGGCTGCCCCTGCAGGTCAAGCCATTAACGGTTCCCGCAGAAGTTGATAGCCAACCATTTAAGCAGCTCTGCCAACCTCATTTCAGCCCGGACAAGCCTTGTTAGCCTTCTTCGCGAGGTCTCCACTACAAGTTGAACCCTTCGTGGCTCCTGCGGGAGTTAGCAGCCTACGGACTTTGTAGACGCCCTTGCTAGTCGAGCCTTTCAAGTCTCCCGCGTGAGTTGGCAACCTACAGCTAGTCGAGCTGCTCCTGCAGGTCGAGCTCCCTGTGGCTTCTCGTAGGAGTTGATGACCAGCGTCTCCGAGGGCTGATGCAGTGCAACCGTGGCATCAAATTATCATCTGACGTCGAAAGTAATGACAATACCTGCAAATAGAACAGAAACAAATAACCAGCTTGGGCGAGCCTCAGCAACCTGACCCAGACTACCTCCAGCCCGAACTGCGAAGCCTCACTACGGATCGAGCTTTTATGGCCCCCAGAGAGTTGGAAGCGAGCTGAAAGTGGAACCGCCCTCATAAGTCGAGCCCCTTATGGTTCCCATGAGAGTAGGTGACCCGTAGACAGCAGAGCTGCCCTCTCAGGGTGAGCCTCCCATGACTCCAATAGAAGCAGACAGTCAGCGGTTCTAGAAGCAGTACGCCATGATCTTGCAAGCACCTTCCCAAGGAAACCAATCTCAAGTGATGATGCAGAAGTAGCCACATCTAAGAGTACAATAGAATGACCACCCACTTAAGCAAACTAGTCAAGCCATATGTCGGCTAAATAATATTATGGAAAGTGGACCATGAGTTGCTCCTAGAGTCTAAGGGCTAAGGTGTTGAGCTGATAAAAGACCTCGGCACCACATGAGACCCAGTTGCCTCTTCAACATGGGCAAAATCAAGGATATGGAGAGTGGACTGCGAATCGTTCCCAGAGCCTAAGGTTTAAGGTGTCGAGCTGATGAAAGACCTCGGCACCACATAAGATCCAACAGCCTCTTCGGGATGGGAAAAATCAAGGATAAGGAGAGTGGACTACAAGTTGCTCTCAGAGCCTAAGGGCTAAGATACCGAGCTAATAAAAGACTTCGGCACCACATAAGACCCATTCACCTCTTTTGCTTGAGCGAAATAAAAAGCAGTTCACATTCAACACGAGAAAGAGAACAAGGAAAAGACTAGTTCGCTCTCAACACCATGACGGATGCGAACTTGGTTGATTTCTTCACTTCGGTTTTAGGCTCTGTGTCAAACTCACTAGCATGATGAGCTTCGCTCTTGAGGTACTTAGTCAGATTACAGAACCCCTTGATGGTCACATCCTTAATAAGGTAGACGTCCTTGTGGCACCTGCTCCACCTCTCCTCGAGTAGATGAATTCGCTCTCGTGCCTCGAAAATCAAGACGGCGAGGTCCTACGAAAGGTTGCAAATGCTCAGACTCTTCCGACTTGAGAAGCAAATTGGACCGATACTTGGGACTACGAGCTCATCAAACAATCATTTTGGGCCAAAAGGAACAATCTACTTCCTTCGCCGAGCTGCCCTCAGCTCGGGAGTGGGGGGCAATTGATGAGGGCAGATTTGGCCCTCTAGTCACATCGTGACATGGCATCTTAGAACAGTTGGATGACACTTGGACACAACCTAAGCGATGATTTGGAGTCCTAGATCGCGGTTCATTTTCACTCCGACCTAGCGATTTCGACCACAACTTAGGCCGGCTAGGAGCACCTCGTCTAGGGCTAATCTGTAGCACCACCTAAGCGATGATTTGTGATACATTTAATTTCAATTTCAGCCAATTACATTAAAGACAATAAATAATTTATTTGCTTTTCATTGGTTAATTTACCTTTCACAAGTTGTATGTACTTACCTTCAAAAAACGTAATAATGCCAAAGATATCAGTTATGACATATCACATTGCTTACGCACCATGGATTTTACCAAATATAAATTTGGTATAAGATATAAGCATGTATTTTATGTATTACCACTGTGGACCGATGCTTACAATTATTGTTGACCTTGATAGTTGAACTGGTCAACCTACTACACATAAAAAGGTAGGTCTATTTGCAAGGTGTCAACCAACGCTGATTAGTAAGGTCTCCTGTTTGTCGTAGCATAGACTTGGGATCAAATCCCACCTTCATCTGGGTTGGGGGATAGGCTACCCCTATTGTGTAGCCCTTCAAAAGAAAAAAAAAAAAAAAATTGGAGGTCTCCCATTGTGTAGCCCTTCAAAAGAAATAAAAAAAAATGGTATGTCTTGTTTTACCCCAAACCTAGTAAGTTTGAATAACTAGTTAATTTGGTAAGAAAAATGTTAACCAAAAATATCAAATTAATGAATTATTAAATTGTTGATGGCAGGGACAATGGTGATGTGCGCAACAAAAATGATAATGGAAGCATGTAGGTTCTATTTTCTTTGGTTGTCCCTTAATCCAGTAGGAGACTACCGGCGGCGATTTCACTGTTTCACCGAGTTCCCACATTCAACTTCATGATTCTCATTACAAAGAATATCCTTTAAGAGCTATGATTTATATGGCCTAGTTCCCTCCCACCTTCTGTGTATACAATTAAATTTAACCGTCATGGCTGTTGGATACCAGGTTTTCTCGATATTATAGTTGGTCATTTTGTGAAAAATGAATATGACTTACTGTTCAATGCACAAGATAGACAATAAATAACAGAGCACACTTTACTACGTAATTCACATTACATAAATTTAGTTCAATAAAAATCGAACATTAATCCATTAGGCCATGGAACTTGAATCACAACTATGTGTTCCTCGAACGTAAATGCACCTCTTCACCATCAATTAAACAAACTTTTGGTTTCTTTTGATGCAAACAACCTCATCTCTCCGGTTTCCCTCACTCCAATTCGAACCGAGCTTGTCTTGTCATCCTACTCCAGTGATTGAATGGCACCTCTGGTATTAAGCATGTCGACTAATCCAATAGGAGCAAATTGGATTTTGCTTGATAATAACTTCATCGGAGAAACTGTAAGAAGCTTGAAAGTAAAAGGCACCAATGAAATCTCCATATGGCACCAACTTCTTCGCCGGGAACATATAAACAAGAAACACTTGTACCCCTTCAATGGAAAATCAGGTTCTTTCCGTTTTCCATTCAATATCGTTTGGGTTCATCGTAGCTGACATAACATGCAAAATCTCGGAGGCACAATTGTTTCTTTGAGCTTGACGACACCGACCTCCCGCTAGGTGACATGCCATCAGAATTGGATGGCAATCGCTGTCGGAGCTTGGTGAAACAATGAAATCATTGCCGGTGGTCTCCTGCCAAAAGAAAAGGAAGAAGATATTAATGAAGATGAATAACAGGGTTGAAAGAAAAAGGAGAAGAAGGGATGTTTACCGCCGGTTGACTACATGCCGTTGGAGTTCGGTGAAACAATGAAATCGCCGCCGGTGGTCTGTTGCTAGAAGAAGAGAAAGGAAGATGATATTAACAAAGAGGAATAATATAGGGTTGGAAGGAGAATGAGAAGAAGGGATTCGGCTTATTCTTATTGCCAGTTGGCTCCATGCCGTCAGAGCTTGTTGGAGTTGCTGCCGGTGGTCTCTTGCTCTTGGGCTCGGGCTTGGGTGAAAATGGAAATGGAAATGGGGAAAGGGAAAGGGAATTCAAAGAGTCGGCGTACTATGCACGCATGGGTGCATTGAACGAATGCACCCTCCAATGAGAGATCACAACGTCGGCATCGAACTAGGCATAAAAGGATAAAAAAATACTTCAAAAGTTATAAACATTTTAATTACATGGGGTTTTTCGGTCTTCCTCCCATTTTCGATTCTCCCCCACCAAGCCCTAACCTCGAAGCATCCATCGGCAGGACGTCCGTGAACGTGAAAGCCACGCGGACAACATCAAGGACTACAGCTTTGTTTGCCACCGGATAGCGCATATTGTCTCCGTCAACGGATTGTACGATGATGGATTCAAAACTCTGGTGTTCCTCAATGCAAGAAATTGCGAGGGGTTTTCGATTAATGCCGATATCACTTCTTTATACTATTATTTTTTTGTTGTTAGTGAATGCTTCTAAAATTGGCGGTATCTGAACCCCTTTTTCTCTGAAACGAACAACCACATCCCCAAATCATCAGTACCTTGATAGAAGAACAGTTAACTCTCTATGCCTGGTTTGTTTCACCAAATCAAGATGGGCATTTTTCTGCAAGTTCTAGACTTTGTAACCAGCTATAAATTTAAGAGTAAAAAAAATTAAAGTTTTATGTTTTTACTTGCAACAAATTTGTATCATAAAGTAATAAAGCTTGGTTTGAGGTGGTGTTGAAGTTCTTCCTTGAACTCCTCAAGGATAGCAGATCTTTTTTTGTAATTCTAAGGTTAAGGTAAAATGTTGTATTAGTTTCATAAAAAACTTGTGCAAGCATAACTCAAGTACGATGAACAACCATGCATTAAGAATATAAAAATCATTTTGAAATTTTTACAGTGAGATGAACTCAAATAGCATTCAGTATTGGAATTCTAGTAAGAGAATTGCTTTTACAATTTCATTTTTGTAGTCTAAATTCCAGGTTTTTAGCTCTCAAAGCAGTGTAGTAAATTTCATAAAACTGCATTAAATGGACAAGGAATTCAATTCTTCTGCATTAGACAAAGAGCACCAAAGCAACAGAGAACTGGATCCAGTTCTGTTTGTGGGGTTTCGATAGGTTGCCTTCGATCAGGGTAGCATCGCATCGATTTGGGGATGTGGATGTTTGGTTTAAAGAGGAAGGAGTTTAGGGGTAATGCCAAATTCAGAAGTATTAAAAAGCAAAAAAAAAAAATTAAGTTTGCAGGGGAGGAGGAGGAGAAGAAGAAGAAAAAGAATTCCTCAGGAGAAGATTCGAAGAAGAATATAAAGAAGACAAGTATGCTTATTGCCGGTTGATTTCTTGCTGTCGGTGGATTCCCCTGTTCACAGACGTCGGTTATGCAGTGAAACCGCTGATGGATTGCTTTCTGTGTTAGGGCTCCGAGGAGAAAATGGGAGGAGTAAGAACGAATTCTCACATCCCAATCCTAAATAATTCAAAAGAATCAATGATTTTAAGTTTCTTTTGTCTTTTTCTATCTGGTTCAACCAGATTCATTTAACTATTGTTCAAACGCCTATTAACGTTAGCTTGATTTCGCCCTGAAGACGACGTGGTCGTCTTTCATTGGGGGGGTGCATTCGTCCGGTGCACCCAACAAATGAGAGAAAAAAAAAAGGGTAAATTACAAAGGCTCCCCCTGTACTATGGGTTTTGTGATAAAGACCTCTTCTGCTTTGTTTTGCGATAAAAACCTCCTGTACTATGGGTTTTGTGACAAAGACCTCTTATACTTTGTTTTGCCACAAAAACCCTTCTGTACTATGACCTTGAGACAAAGACCCCCTTGACCATTAAGTTAGATGACGAAATAGTTAAATTACTAATACCTCACTAAACTATTTCTATTTTCTTTTCTTTTGCCATTTTCCTCTTATAACCTATTTAGCCTATTGCTTTCCCTTTCTTCTCTTCTTTTCCCCTCACTCACCATCCTTTCTCATTCTTTCTCTCTCCCAACTCTGCAAAATAAAAGGACCGAGGCAACCCATTTCTCATCTTCCCTATCTTCTCTTCTCCATCTTCAATCTCGTCTCTATAACCGTCACCGACGATGCCACAATCATGGGAAACTGCAATGCTTGATAGTCCATCAACAGATGGCTGCTCAATCTCTATAGCCATAATAATTGGCGTTTGGCAAAGAAAATCTGCTGTATGTAAGGAGAGGAAGCTCCTGTGTATGGAAGAATGAGAGTTCTGCAGAGAAATGCTGGATGAAAAAACCTCGTCTAAGAAGTGGTATTTATAGGCAACCCTGGACTCGAACTGGTATTTGTAGGCTTGTACTGTGTAAGCAAGTGGAGATTTTAATCCCTTCCGACAGCTGGTATCTTCTGTCATTGTTTTTTTTTTTTTTTTTTCTTCTCCATATCTTTTTTTTTATTTTTCAGTCCCCACTATATCTACAATTCTACAATAAATTTCCCCTTTTTCTTCTACCTTTACCGTTCTCTGTTTTCTTTGAATTGCGTAGTTGAGTTCTCCATTTTCTAACTTGTGACTGGTAAAAAAACATCGTGATCAATCGATTTTAAGTAACCTTCTTGAATGGATATGAAAACTATAATCATGCTTCAAAAATTTACAAGTTAGTTCTGATTACCGCACAAATCAATCAACCCCACTTACAGGTTACCCGATAACTTCTCCACTCGCCAACAACGTCACGACAAAAGAAAAGGTCAGGGAACGGCAAATTTCAAATGAGGGGACTTTGTCGCAAAACAAAGTAGGAGGGTCTGTGTTCTTTATAATTTAGCAAAAAAAAAAAAAAGGCTTTTTATTGGTGATTTTGTCTCTTCCCAACGTTGAATAACGGGAGCGTGAATCGAATTTAATTAACAGAATTGTTAGATTTGAAAGGGGCGACGTGCACGCTCCCCGTTCACTGGATTCGAGCTCATTCAGAATAAGCTTATATCCGGCTCAATTGCTGGGACGAGTTCAATCCCTTCGCCATGTCCCTAAGAACAAACTTCTGAATCTTCCCCGTCGAAGTCTTGGGAAGCTCGTCCATGATCACGACAATTTTAGGAGCCATGTAGTGCGGCAACCGAGCCCGACAGTACTCCACAATTTCCTTCTCCGACGGCTTCTGTGTCGACGACTTCTTCAAACTCACGAAAGCGCAAGGAGTCTCACCCCAGAACTCGTCCGGCCGAGCCACCACTGCCGCTTCGTTCACAGCTGGGTTCGTGTACAGAACCGATTCCACCTCCACGCTACTCAAGTTCTCACCGCCGCTTATGATCACGTCCTTCGATCGGTCTTTGATCTGCACGTACCCATCTGGGTACATCACACCCACGTCGCCGGTGAAGAACCAGCCTTTGTCACTTAGGGCGACGGACGTCGCGGCTGGCTCCTTCAAATAACCCAACATAAGACACCCACCACGCAAAACGATCTCACCGATGGACGACCCGTCTCGTCTCACACTCTCTCCCGACTTGGGATCTATTACGTCTATCGCGGTCATCCCAATAGTCCTCACCCCTTGTCTCGCCTTTAACCTCGCCCTCTCAGTTGCCGGGAACCGATTCCACTCGGATTTCCAAGCGCATGAAATAACGATTCCACCTGTCTCGGTCATCCCGAAGCCGTGACTCACTATAAAGCCCAGCGACTCTGTCCTGAGCAGAACGGCGGAAGGGGGCGGCGCTCCAGCCGTTAGAAAATGGACGGGTCGTGGGAGTGGCTGGACGTTAGGTGCGTTGGCTAACATGTTGAGCACAACCGGTGCACCACACATGTGGGTCACCCCATGCTTGTGAATCGCACGGTAGATTGCCGCAGCATCGAACTTACGGAGACAGATGTTGGTCCCACCCACAGCTGCCATGCCCCAAGGGAAGGTCCAGCCATTGGCGTGGAACATTGGTAGGGTCCACAAGTAGATGGGGTGTTTCGGCACAGACCAGTCGATCAAAGAATTAAGGGTGACGATGAAAATTCCCCGGTGGCAGTGGACGACCCCCTTGGGAGCCGAGGTGGTACCAGAGGTATAGTTTAATATCATCGGGGCCCACTCGTTCTCCGGCCGGACCCATTTGAAGCTGGGGTCACCCTTCTTGATCAGGCCTTCGTAAGTCCGGTCGTCGTCAACGGCTACCATTTCGTTTGCTTCCTCTGTGATGAAGAAGAGAAGAGGGCTTTGAGTGGCGGGTGGGAGCAAGGAGATGGCATCGAGGACAAGGGAGCGACAGAGGACGTCGACGAAGACGAGCTTGGACTCGGCGTGACGGAGGAGGATGGAGATGGTCCGAGCATCCAGGCGGGTATTGATGGTGTTGAGGATGGCGCCGGCCATGGGGACGGCGAAGTGGAGCTCGTACATGGCTGGGACATTGGGGGCCACGACAGAGACCACGTCGCCTCTCTTGATGCCGAGAGACGTGAGGGATGAAGCGAGTTGCAGGCACCGGCGATGGGTCTGAGACCAGGTGTAGGAGAGGTCGTTGTAGACAACAGAAACGCAGTCGCCGTAGACGGTAGCTGTTCTTTCGAGAAAGCCTAGCGGGGTTAGCGGAGAGGAATTAGCAGCGCTTGGCTTCAGTAGATCCATCACTCTCCTTTTCTCTCTCTCTCTCTCTCTCTCTCTCTCACTTTTCACTGGATTGTTGACTCGTTGGATTTCAGTTTCAGCCAACGTTGAGAGTATTTATAATGTAAAATGAAAATGTCTGAATGCATGGATCCAAAAATAAAAAACAGAAACTTGTGAACAGCGTTGTCCGGGGAACAAGGTCACTGCCATTTATTAAATTTTGGGTAGACTAAAATATGTATTATTGGTAGTGGACTGGTGGTGGGCTGGGTGTGATGGACCCCAGACCCAATTTTGGCTTTCATTATCATGAGACGATACCAATTGCTAGTTTGCTACCAGTACCAGTGGCTACCTTTTAATCCTTTTTATGACAATAGTTCATGGGCTTGTGAGTTGTATTACATTTATGTCAATCCATGGTTGTCGTGGACTTCATTTGTTGGAGGCACTGAAAAGTTTTGGGTCCGGTTCTGGCACACTTTAGATGAATGATTGCATTTTGGACCCAGGATGTGGGCTTAAGCTTCTGTTCATTCGGAGGCACTGAAAAGTTTTGGGTTGTGAAACGCAACTCGGCCCATAGTGAGGTTGACGTAACAGGTGACGTGTACCCAACTTCTCCATGTGAGGTTGAGGCCGAGGGTGAGGTGGGTCGATTACGTAATGTGTGATGATTCTCGTATATGTATTGTATAGCAGCTGCAACAGCCAAGAGCCAACAGGCAACACTAATCAGTTAATCTCATACAAAGTTTTATTGTTTTATTTATTTATTTATTTGTTTTTATAAATAAATCACCTGCAACGTTGGTAGCAGCTCGTCTGGAGTCATAATTGAATGTGAGATAACGTGTTTAAACATGTTATTGCATGTGTCTTTCGGTTTCGTGTTCATTTTGACTAGTACTTGAGATGCATGTATCAAATATCAAATATAAAGACAACTGAATCTCAACTAACCAATCAACCTAGCTAAAAGCTTAAATTGTTTTGTTAGGTGAATTCTCTAAATAATAGGTTTTTTGTTTTCTACCTAACATGTCCCTTCACATAGCAGTTGATTGGGCTTGAAATGTAAATAAGCACATGAACACACAAGTTTTGTGTTAAAACTTAATTAATTATTGTAGGTGTAACAATGATTAAACACTAGATCAGGTGATTAAATAGACTTTTTTATACTATATCTAAGGAGAATCACACAACCTAAAATGCTTAAGCTGGTAGGGGAATTCAGTAAACAGGTTTTTATTGTCTAACAATAAGGGCATTGGTGATTTGGGTTGCAAATGGAATGGATTGGAGATAAGTAAATCCAAATTTGATTAATTTATTTTTGAATTTGAACTGAATCTTAGTTGTCACATGTACATTGGATTCAAACCGAATTCAGAGGGTAATAGGACATCAAATAGTATTAATGAATTAATTTCAAAATGATGAAAAGATTATATATTATTAATAAAATCTATACTACTTTAAGAAGTATCAATAGGTTCAAGAATATTCATGGAATTTTTAGGACAAAATTTACCCCTCTATATTTAAATTTGTTGATAAAAAATGAGGGCAAATGGGGTAATCTAATATTGCTATTAAATAAGTTGAAATGAGGTAATTTTAAGATATTCAATGCATTCAGTTCTCTCTCATTAAATCCAACGTTTAAGCTATTAATTTGCATTCACCTTCATTGAATCATATATATAAGGCACTTTTGTTTCTTCTCATCATTAAATTCTATAATTAAATCCATACATAATAAATTAATAATTCCAATAACATAAAACTTAAATTTTAATATCTACCTGGAAAAAATAGTGTTTTCATCTAGGTGGTGGTAGGAAATTAAACCATTTTAGGTCAAATGGGCCAATCAATGTCGCCACAATTAAATAGTAAAATTCAAAAATATATAAAATGCAAAAACTATATATAGAAATTAAAAAATCCGAAACATTTTTAGCATCATATATTTGACATGGTAAACAATAATAAGTATGATAAACAATGTTTTAAAAACCGATCCAAAGGCCGACTTGCTTTTGCCTTCAAGTCACAGGTCATCGGTTCAACCGTCAAGGTCAAACGGGTCAAACCACTTTTATATATAAAAATATTAAAAATTACAATTTAGGGCCAAAAAGGGATTTATTTTTTTATGAAAATAGCAATGCAAGACGCCTAAAGCCCTTGGGGCATATAGATCTTGAAAAGTTACCTAAGATAAAAAAGATTACATCAATCGGACATCAGAGTGCAAAGTTATGGCCTCCAAAAATTTGCACATAATTAAATGCGCAACCTGCAACCTAGTGACCAGGTCAAAGGGGTGAATGGTTGAACTACCCGGGTTAGACGCTTTTTGACCAAGTCAATGATTTTTTACTGAAAGGGTGAGCCTCAATAGAATCAGACCCGAAATCAAGGCCGAGTGACGGTTCAAACGATTCAATCGGTTAGGTCAATGGCGGGTTGAAAACATTGATGATAAATAAGAAATATTTTTATTAATGATGGAATGGAATGTAATTTTTCAAACCAATTGGAAATAAAACTATTTTCCTATTCTCTCTTATTAAATCTCATATCTAAGGTATATTCTCTTATTAAATCTTATATTTAAGATATATTTTTCTCATCATTAAATTATACTAATTAAATCCATAATATTAATATAAAAATATAAGAATAAATCTTTTTAAAAATAATTTGAAAATAAAACCATTTTCTTTCCTACCAATAGTGGTGAGTAAGCAATTTACCATTTGGGGTCAAATAGGTTAATATAAGAATAAATATTTTTAAAAATAATTTGAAAATAAAAAGAATTGGACACATTTCTAATATTATATGTTCACTATACTAAACAAAAATAAAAATGAAATGTAAGAAGTATTTTTATTAATGATTAAAATGGAATGCCAAATTTAAAATCAACCTAGAAATGAAATGATGCCATAGTTAAATAATAAAATCTTTAAAAATATAAAATACAAAGAATCACAAAAATTGAAAAAGTAGAGAAAATTTTGGGCACATATCTAATGTTAAATATTGATAAAAAATAAAATATCGGGTACATATTTAATATTATACATTCATTATATTAAACAAAAATAAATATTATACATAAGAAATAATTTTATCAATGAGGGAAATGTAATACAATATTTAATGTCAACCTACAAACCATACTATTTTTCTTTTTGGGTGGTGGGATAATGGTTTAGGTCCAATGATGATATGATAGTTAAATAATATATAAAAATTGGGTTCGACTATGATATCTGAATTTTTTACCAATCAAATGGTATAAAAACGTGGTACCCAATCAGATGTTATTTATCAAAATTCATGAGTGGGTTTTGATTGGTCAAAACTCTTCCGTTACCATGTCTTTCCCGCATCATAGATTTTTATATATTAATTATATCAAACAAAAATTTAGTGTGATAAGTAAAAATTATTTATATAATGCAGATGGAGTATATAATTTAAAACTGATCTAAAAGAAAAAGTATTTTCTTAAATAAATGGTGGGTCAATGATCCAACCTATCAAAGAAACTCATGATGTCATAATTAAAAAATAAATATTTAAAAAAGATAGATAAAACACAAAAAATGAAAAGTATAGAATTTTGTCAAGCACGGGAACACCCATGCCTTGTGTTAAAATTAATTAATTATAATGGTTATAACAAGGATTAAGCACTAGAGCAATTGGTTAAATAGATTTTTATACTATTTCAAGGAGAACCACACAACCTAAAAAGCTTAAGTTGTTAGGGGAATTCATCATTAAACAGGTTTTTATTGTCTAACAATAAGGACATTGATGATCAAGCTTGCAAATAGAATGGTTTGAATATAAGTACATCCAAATTTGATTAATTCATTTTTGAATTTGAACTGAATCTTATTTGTCACATTTATATTGGATTCAAACCTAACTAAGATAGTAATAGGACATTTAATAGTATTAATGAATTAATTTCAAAATGATGAAAAAATTATATATTATTAATAAAATGAAACAAAAGTTACTTTGTTTCTGACTACATTGGATTATTGATCCTTCCTAGCATTTTCTGGTTTGGTAAGAAACCAATATTTTTTTTATTACTTTATTTTGTAAGGTTGAATGTATTAAATTAAACTATTTGAGCTAAAGTTAAAATGGTCATGAGTTCTAGAACAATGTCTATGCACATCTCCTAAGAAATGGAAGTAATGGTGAAGGGAATCCTAAATAGCTAGTTAAAACTAATGTACGAGGAAAGGGCTTGTCTGCCAATTATGAAGGTTAAAAATATAATTTCAACTAATGCTTTTCACCTCATTTAATCCCCTCTCATTAACTCTAGTGTTTAAGGTATTAATCCTCATTTTCTCTTATTAAATCTCATATTTAAGTTAATTTTTCACTAATAAATGCTACTAATTAGATCTATTTCCAATACTTTGAACAATATAAACCCATATATTTTAAAACTTACTCAAAAACAAAAGCATTATTTATAATAAGAAATAAATAGAAAAACATTATTTTTCAATGATCCAAATCAAATTGGCCAACCCATAAAATCATAGTTAGATAATAAAATTTTTAAATAGAAATAAATAAAGAAAAAATAGATAATCTAAAACTAACCAAAAATTTTATTAATCAAATTAAAAAACAAGTGTAATAAACAAGAATTATTTTTATTGATGATGAAAATGAAATACATAAATTAAAACTAACCAAAAATGAAATTATTTTCCTATTTAACGGAGATCAATAGTTCAACTTTTGGGACAAATTTGTCAACATTTAATGTCATAATTAAATAATAAAAATTTGATAAAATATAAAAAACACAAAAATAAAAAATGCATAAATTTTACAAAAAAACATTTGGACACATTTATAATATCATATATTTAACATATTAAACAAAAAATAAGTATAAATAACAACATTATTTTTACACACATAGAAATAAAAATATTATAGAAAAAATTGATCACATCTATAGCTCCATATTTATTTATTTATTCCCAAATTTTACTAATAACTCCATATTTATACTACTATTCAAAATATGAATACAATTTTGTAACTTTCTTTTAACTAAAATACCAATTTTTTTAATTTAATTCTATTTAATTGTGAGGTTTAAAATGTAGTTTGAACTACAATTTTTACCTCATTCAATTCCCCCTCTTTAAATCTTACATTTTTTTGCTAAATAAACAAAAATGTATACACTATGAAGATAAAACATTACAAAAAGAAGAGTCCAACCAAATAGGTAGGCCTACCAATGTTACCCAAAACTTTGTTGCCCAATATGAGGTGCTAATGCATCGGATTCAGATTTTGCAATCTGCATCCGATTAATAGTGAAAAACAAAAAAAAATAAAATAAAAAATAAAAAATAGATGAATTTTATAGAAGATTTTGG